GCCATCTAAGTGAGGCAGCATCCAAATCCACATCGGAGAAGCACAATAGCCTGTGTGATCCAAAGATGATGGTAACAAAATTCAAATAATGAAGGGAATATGGTATAAGAACTTAAATTGTGGACACTCAATTTGTAGACCTCAAAGGAGGGTAGTGGGAGCCCGGAAACCATCTGCAGAGTTTCTAGTCAGACTAGCCTCTGGCAGGTCCCCTCTGGTCACAGGCAAGGGGCTCCGACAGCGTTCGCATCAGACAGACACTATTGCAGACTTGATTGTGGTGGATCGAACCACAGAACAGTATGATACTTGGTCGGTTGACTTCCCTCTTGAACCAACCTGACTTTGCCCTAGGCTTACATATTTCCCACTTCCTTCAAGACAGAAATTTTCCTCTCGGTTTTTAAATATGGGGGTCTTTTCTTTCTTACTCTTTATTTTTATTTTTGTCTTTATATTATTATTTTCTTCTTTGTTTTCTTTTAGTGTTTCTTTGAGGTTTCCCAGTTGGTGAAGCACAGAAGGAGTGGCTGCAGAGACAATCGATAGTTTATGGGGAGGAGGGTGGGTGAATGGGGAGGGGAGGGGACTTGGGGAGCAGAGAGTGGATGCAGTAGTGGAGAGGGAGCACTAGAACTGATGGTGATGATATATGTACAACTCTTTTCAAAAGCGATTTAGCCATGAAAGTATATGATATGTGAATCCCAAATCAAGAAATCTACTTAAAAAAAATAAAAAGCAAGCAAGAAAGAAACCAAACGACCGGTAGTTGCCATGGGTGAATGAGAAAGAGTTGTTGCCTGGAGGGCACTGAGTTTATGTTGATGGTGGTGGAATAATTTGGGAAAGGCTATCAAAAATGCTTGTACAACAGGAAGAGTAGAATTAATGGCACTGAATTATTCATGAGGAAGATGTGGAACTGGAGAGTGTTTTGTTGCGTATTTTCTTGCCACAATTAGAAAAAAAAAATTACATGAATAATAATGGGTACAAGGAGACAATGTTCTAGAATTGACTGGGGTGACGATTGTACAGCTCTTCTTCATAGGATTGAATTATTGAATTGTATGACATGTGGATGAAGGGCTAATAAAACTGTTAAAAAAAAATGTTGTCTCATCAGACAAAGGCCTTATTACTAAAATCTACAATACTCTGCTAGCTTCCAAAAAGAAAAAAACTAATTGCCCACTTGAGAGGTGGGCAAAAGACTTGAACAGAAGTTTCAGAGGCAGAAATCCGAATGGCCAACAAACATATGAGAAAATGTTCCCGATCTTTAGCTATAAG